ACCCATTCAATTAAACCTATTATTTTGTAATAGAAATTAGTAAAATCTCTATTTTCTTAGAAAGCGTATTAGTATATATAAAAATCTCTAGAATCCTGAAATTATATTCCGTTACTCTTGCGAATTCTTAGCCTGACGGCTTCCCCGTACAATAAAAAGGGGCCATTTTTGTCACCTATGCGTATTCTTTCTCACAATTAAATACTAATTTTAAACAATATTTAATAATGTCTTTACCTAAATAATTTGAAGCGCATAACAAAATTAAAAATTCTTCTTCATTCTTTAAGTATGTAAATAATTTTCTTTTCCGACTTAATTTCTGCTATTTGCTTACAAATCAAATCAACTTGAAAATCAAATAAATTTTTTCCCATTATTGTGATAACTTAAAATACTTTTGCACGTGGAGATTTGTATTTAAAGTAAAATACCAGCATAATTTGTGATCCAATACTTTATTCGTATTTGCCACAAATTATCATATTAATGCCACTATATTTGGATAGTCGTAATTGTTAAAATTAATTAAAAAATATAATGGCGAATTTCAACTTAATTTCCCTTTCCACGAATTTTCTCTGTCATCTTTCCGAATGCCAGATATAATTATGAAATATCCCATTTCATGATACAGATTGTTGAGAAAAATATGTGAATGGGAAATGATGATACATCCTTTTTGTTGTCCTTTGATTAAATTACCCGTTGAGGGAGTCACAGTACATTTTGCTATCTTCTGATTAAAATATAACTGACTCTAATCAAAAATGTCTTTCACCAAGAGTGTATGCTAATGTTAGATTCCTCCTAGTTTAAAAGGTTCGATCTACATAGTGTATCTGATAAGGCAACAAAATTCAATATAGCTAAATATATTATTTGAGAAACACGTATTATATGTTTAATCAATAATAAAGCAGATAAATTCATACATTTTAAGATAAAATTTTAAACGTATCAAATAAAAAGAAAAGCAAGTCTATAGTCAAGTGTCTGAGTAGAAGAAACAAATATAATCCAAAGGCATCATTTTATAATTAAAACTAGATTTATATGATTAATTACAAAATATTATTGACAAAAAAATTAAAAGTTTAAGGAATTTGAGGGGACCCTCCGTGTTAAACACATGATTTTGAGGTTTTTTTTAATTGTGGCAATTATTAAATATACTCTATTTTCTAGTTTACTATATGCCTAGTAAGTAACCTAGATATCATGGATAACGAACATAAAATAACTATTTTTTCAAATCATCTTTAGTCACTTAGTAAATATTTGCTCTCCTCATTTTGTTGTAGATATTGACATTTTTCTTGCGTGCGCTTCTGAGAGAATTATGATTGTCTGCAAAATACATAGACCTAGTCAGTAATGTAACCGTAAGCAGCGTGAAAACGTTCAAAGTACGTTGAGTGGTTTAAACTAATGTGCAGGAAGCCTGCCGATTTTACTTCGGGAAAATTCCGATCGAAAATGTTTGATGTTGTCAGCTGAACCATAAAATGAGAAGAGGGAACAACGATATGACAATGTATTCATGGAAGTGACGTTGAATAACGAGTGATCAAGAGAGAGAGAGAGAGAGAGAGCACGGAAAAGAAATGAAAAAAAGAAGTAGTAAAGTGAAAAGCAACGGAAAGAGTAAAAGATCTGAAAATGAGAGAGAGAGAGACTATCTACAGTTAGCCGCTATGGAATTGTTGCAACAAAGAAATAACTGCAATGATTCAGCGAGCTTCAGCAAATGTTTCAGTGTGAGCATTCAGGCATGTTTCCGCTTTTGTCAGTATGTCTCTATGGGAGCGCAAAATCGGAATGATAGCGCTTTCTTAGATCATATATTAATTATTACACGGTGCCAATGGCTATTATTTAACTGTTGAACATATATAAACATTTTACCCTTTTCTGCCATGCAGAAAGTCGAATAACCAAAATCAGATTGATGCTCTGTGATCTTTAACAGCAGGATTATTCTGGGTATTGCATGTTTTAACAAGTAATCTAAATATAACACATAAATCCAATTCTTTGAGAATAATATGAATAATATGGGGTAGGATGACTCCGTACGTTTTAATTAGTTGCGAAGTCTTTGACAACACAAGTATAACTATTACTATATATGCTTATATTTTTCATGTTTACGACTTATAATCAATCTGAAAGCAGGAATATAGTGTAGGGAAATTAATCTATAAAAGCACTCACCAAAAATTAATGTTAATGATGGCGTTTTAAAACAAGGTCACTATACGTTACCACAAGGTAATTTAGAGTCATATGTCTACATCATGTAAACCTCAATATATATATATATATATATATATGTGTGTGTGTGTGTGTGTGAGAGAGTGTTATATATATATATATATATATATATATATATATATATACACGGAATATTTATATTTTATGAATAATCATGTAATCATCCACATAAGTGTGTGTGTGTGTGAGACAGAGAGAGAGCGTGTGTGCGTGCGCGATAGGATAATGAACAGATAGGAAACTGATCTCGATCTAACATGTTTCTTCAGAGATCAAGATAGAAATGATAAAAAGCAGCGACGCAGGTTAAGGTTATGTTGTGTTTGGTTATTTCTTATTGGTTAGATACGTGTAATGAAGTACCTGATAATATTCAAATATGAGTGAGAATACTTTCTGTACGCTAAAGTGTGTAAAAGTTAGTGAGACATAGCAGGACGTTTCGAAAAATTTTGTGTTGGTTTCATTTTACAATAAAGAATATCTCGTGCTTATTTTCTATATATCTTCATTAATTCTTATGTATTAATTAGAAATAAGTTAGATTCATGAATATTGTATCTGTAGAAAAATGGTAAAGTAACCTAGTTTTCAAAACGTGTTTTAACCTTTGTTAGTTTTTATATAAATAAGTTTTCATAATATTTTCCTTTAATGTGTTATGTTCTTTCTTAATCTATGCTGGCCTTTAATAAGGCAAATTATATCCCACGTAGTTGCAAGTTTCTTTTGGGTTCCTGGACGTATGTATTTATCTCGCGTGATATTTTATGGTTTTTGTTAGCTCATTTTTTTCTTTTAGTTTAAGATGAAATCGTTTGTGAACTGTAGACGTTTGAATGTGCTTTCAATATAATCCTCTTCTTCACTAATGTAATCAGTTATACATATCATAAGGAATGTATGAAGACATTATTTCTTTAGAGATCTATTTCAACCAACACATCATCAGAAGGATGTATAGTACAGATTATGCAGTAGAATACAGGAATAATTCGTTCACGGTTTTATGTTGAGCTCGATCCGCTTGACAGTTATGTTTATTAGAAGCGGTTTACATTAAGTTACATCAACCGTCTTTGTGATGAAAGAAAGAGCATTTTGCTGATTCTCTCTGTATCCTAGGAGGTATGTAAGTAAAGTTTTATCCATTTTATTCTCATCTAGAAACATTTATCTTATTCTATTTTTCGTATATTCCACTCTCTTTTAAATAATAAATTTGTATTTTATTTATGGTCCCATTTTTCTCCAATTTTTATTTTCTGGTATGGTTAATTGTGTTTTCTTTGTCAATCAACATTAGCAGCGTATTCTGTTGCTGATGTGTTAGCAAATAGAAAAATAGAAATCTATTTTATAGCTTGATACTTCATAACTATGTTCATATATATATATATATATATATATATATATATATATATATATGAACGAAGTTATATATAGATATATATACATATATGAACGATGTTATATATATATATATATATATATATATGTATGAGCAATGTTATATGTATATATTTATATATGTATGTGTGAAAGATGTTATATATTTTATATATGTGTGTGAACGATGTTATATATATATATATATATATATATATATATATATATATATTTGTGCGTATGAACAATGTTTATATATATATATATATATATATATATATATATATATATATATATATATCATTTGTATATCCTTGCTTAAACCGGCTTCTAATGCTTTGGATGGAGCGGGTTGGGGATAGTAGTCGTAACGAGTGTGGGCACAGTCCTATGAGTAAGGGAAACTCGGATGACTTCCACCACGGAATATCTGATCGAGCAGCGCTATATCGAGTCTAATTCGATACCTCTTCGTCAGCGGTGCTCGGTGGTACAGTATTTATGACGGTTGCCTGATAGCGCAACTGTCCGGATTTCAATTGTCTGTAGTGGATGCGCACTGCTGATGAGTCCCAAATATAGCATGCAGCTGCAGTCCATTGCTTTTTGCATGTTGCTTAGGTATCTTCTAGACTCGATGAATTACTTAATTATCCCAAATCCACTTAATAATATTTTTATAAATAAATATAAATAAATATATTTTTTAAAAACCGTACACAAAACACAGTGGTCCATAATACTACAATTCTTTTTTTTTTTTTTAAATATGTATTCACCGCGGCCCAGAAACTTACCATGTTTCGAAATGAAAACTTAAATCTTAAATTAAACTTAAAATTTAAAGTTCAGTTCCATTTTCAAGCAATACAGAATAACAGAATTGTTAACTAAATAAAAATCATCAAATTATAGAAAGAATATTTTAGTCAAAACTTTTTCTCACTTTCTCACTCACGCCGTTTCTGTCTATTTCTATAATTCAAGAAGAATCTCCAATGGAAGACACGTTGTAATATGAAAGTTAACTTTTCAGGATTTAAGTTCGCCCGGATTCACTCATCAATATATATTTTGTCTACGTTTCACTCAAAATTTCACTCCTGATAACCACTTTTCTGCGCATTGTAAAATATTTACAATGTAACCATGTATATATGTATATATATGTGTGTGTGCGTGTGTGTGCGTGTGTGTGTGCGTGTGTGTGTGTGTGTGTGCAACTCCATGGAAATTAGCATGCCTGTGTGAAAGTTTGAATACGATTATGGATCAGGTTTATTGAACCAAGCCATATGATATAAAGCCAACCTTTTCACCGAATCTTTTATTTGATGATCAAAGTATTTTTTTCTCGGTGGACTTATTCATTTTTTCTCTTTCGCCGTTCATCAAACGAGGTTGTCATGGAGATCGACTTTCTTTTCTTTTTTTTTTTCAGTGTCATTCTCTCGTCTTTTCTGCAACACATTATGGCTTTCCCTTTTACTCGATCTTTTCCACATCTCCATCTATTTCTGTCTCTCTCTTTCCATTCTTATATGTGGGGAAATTTCACACGATCAGCGCTCAGTCAAAATTCTGTAGCTAAGAGGCAAGGTAAAGAGTGTTAGGAGGAATCGAACGGACATGATTTGTTACTTACTGCGACCCGGCGACTCTATCAACAAAGGAAAATGTGTGATGGATAATTCGACATTTGATCTCTTATCGATTTCGGAACTCTTTCGAAGACGATAAAATTGTCCCACGTGATGCGTAAGACTAATTGCCAGGCACAAAAGAAGAAACGCAGACGACAATTTCCGCCATATCTTTCAGCAAGAAAATTCAAGAAAGCTGATGATTTCGCTTTTCAATATCAGAACATTCCAAAATACTACAGACAACTTATTTTATCACATTATTGTTTCGATTCGCATCGACATATTTTGTCGCAAATCAGAGAAACACCAAAATTTAATAAAACTTACATGCTTAATATTATTCAACTTGCCAATAAGGGCGGCATTTTCAGCGAGAATTGATTATAGCATGAATAACAAAATGTAACATGCTTTACAAACGGATGCAACAAACGTTAAATAAATCAATTTTAAGAAATACATTTCCAAATAATCTTACAATATATTTACAGGTTGAAGAAATATTTTAACAAAGCGATTCATTTTTTTAGCTGCTTTCTTTCGAATTTAGGATGTGTTATTTCCTTTACAATAATACGAACGAGAAAATTAATGTATCGAGTCTATTTTTACAATGAATACTTTCTTGAATGTATGCATTGTTCGACAGCATATCGGAAGAATTATCTTTTAATAATTCTCTGAGTATGTCGTTGTATACGAAGGCTACATATGATATATTATTGCGAGTAGATATATGTGAACTAGAACGCCCATCTTTTACACCAGTGGTAAAAATGTAAGTTTCTCACTCACAAGTCAACGTCAGCGTACTGAACAATTCGTTCAATGTCTTATTTGTTTAAACGTGGCCCTTCATGAATCCAATTATCTCTTTTCTTTTAGAATATTCCTTCAGGAGAACGAAAGGCGAATTTCAATTTACGTTTTTTTTTCACTCACTTCATTCCTACTCAACTAAAAGAAAGATAGACTTGAAGTCTCTGTATATAACTAGAAAAAGTGCATGGTAATATTATGCTTGTGCAAAAGTTGTCATTGCTATCTTTTTTTTAAATGTAATGTTTGAACAAAATTTACTGTGTTTTTATTAAAACTATTTTCCATAGAATATTCCTTCTCTATTTAAAGTAAAAGTATAGTTAGCGGTAATATCTGTACAAACTTAATAATTACTTTGTTTCCCACTTAATAAAAGTTTGCAATAAATAGTTAACATCAGAAATCGTGGTTCCCTTTTGAAAATTCTTTAACATATTTTTAATGAAGCATTTAAATGATTTTTTTTCGAATTTACAAACCTTTACGTAATAGAATAATACGATTTTTAAGCGTCTATATCCACTTCAGTGATTAAGCAGTGTAGCACACCAATTGTTTTAGAATTGGTTAATTATATATCCGAGGAAAGGTTTATTTAACATATTCCAAGATTTCAAGCATATTAAATGTATCAAGCGTCTGTGACCACTTCACTGACTAAGCGGTGTAACAATCTGACTGTTGTCTAATAATTATTTACACAATGGTAATTTATATATCAGAGGAACATTTATTCTAAATATTCAAAGATTTCAATCACACTAACTTTGAGATTAAGTTCAATAGAAAATGAAAAAATGTGATCTCTTACGAAGATTTCTAAAATGTATGAGAATAGATATAATGCATAAAGTAGTGATTTAAAAACACTTATAATTCCGTACAATTATATACGATCAGGGCACACCTAACGGAAAAAAATGTATAATACACATTTGATTAAATTCTGTGATTAGTAATTGTCATACATAATACTCTCTATGACAGTGAACTTTGGACCTAAGTAGAAGACAAGTTATGATATATTATAGGAGGGCATAATTTTAACTGCAGATTCAGAACGATATCTGAAAGAAATCTTCGATTATTAAAGGGAAGAATTAAGCCACCAGTAAAAAAAAAAGAAATCCGAATATAGATGGAGCAATGAGTAAATTGTCATATATATATATATATATATATATATATATATATATATATATATATATATATATATATATATATATATATATAATATATATGATTCGTGTATACGGAATAAATTCCAATAACCGGCAATTACTATTCTTCAAAAAGTGCTCAATATAGAGTAGTAGAGCAGATATATATATATATATATATATATATATATATATATATATATATATATATATATATATATATATATATATATATATATATATATATATATAAATGAAGGAGGAATCTAAATGAAATAATAATAAAAAACGAAAGAATATTAATCTACAACCCAGTGTGTCTAAAGATTTTAATTTTTCAAAATTTTTAATATTTTTTATTGTTCAAAATATATATATATATATATATATATATATATATTACCAAAATAACACAGAATTATCTTGACATATTAAAGAGTTTGTTTCTTTAATAAGATCGCCATTGTCTTCAACCACGAACTCCATGACTTTGAATTATCCTTCAACTCTTCTGGACTGTCTCTATGTTTAATTTGGTGAATGATGCCATAATCCTTGCTTTCAGTTCACCTTTGGTGTTACAAGGAGTTTTGTTGATCTCTCGCTCAACTGCAGGCCACACATAATAATGAATTGTGCTGCAGTCTGGGGAGGTAAGAGCCCATGGGTAAGGGGTGATGTGGTCAAAGAAATTATCAGATAGCCATGATTAACTTTCTTTGATTTGTTTTCCTGATCATGTGGCATGGTACAAAGCCGTGTTGTCAGATATAGGGTCTTCCGTTAAACATCTTCTTCATTCAGGCACGGGAGTTCTTTTCTAATCAGGAGGATTAGTGTAAAATGTTCGAGCATTCGCACCTTCGTAATTACAGTTAGACTCATTCAACTCATTCAGAATTAACTGCTATATCCAGAGATTGACTCCCAAACACTCTGAAATGTTCGTATTAGAGCTTCCGGTGAGAATGGCAATAATTACAGTTTGCCGTTTCCAAATTTCTGGTGTAGTGAATACCGTCATGTCTGCTCTTTTTCTCACAGATGGTGTCCAATTGACCCTATTGTTTAGTCGACTAAATCAAAGCCAAACATTGTGTATACGCAAAATTACTTCTTTTTATTATTTTCAAAGAAAGAGACACGACATATTTTAGAAATACATTGAAGACGTCAGTATACAGAAAATACGGGTATATGCTCAATGGGTGTCGCACAGAAATCTGGACTTCCATGGGAATAGCTGTAAATGCCTTTTAGAAACTAGTTAAAACGTAGAGACATAGGAAAGATCAGTGCTGAAATGATATGTAATATCTCGCCACCTATGTAGCAGTTAATTCAGGACAGATTCATTGTGTATAAAGAACAGATTATGCTCCAAGGATGTGTTTCTGCCGAAGAATATTGGGAATCCTATAGACGTAAATTTGAATTGTTAAGGAGTATAGAACCAAAAACGGATTTTCTTCTAACAATAAGATAGAGACAGTTGAATTGTCTAGTATACATTGTGTTGTTACAATGCATATTGTATCTAAAAGTAAGGAAATATTTTGAAGGCAAGGAAAGAAAGATGAAACTCTGAGTAACACACTGACCGAGTTTGACTGAATGAATGGAAGAAGATATAATAAGTGTTGTCGTTGTAATGGAACAATATTTACTGACAGTGACCAAAATGAAGATGTTGGGAATATCCATAATCACACATGTTCTGAAACACATGGTATTAATAGTACCGCCTAATGAAGGACATTGATGAGTTAACCATATAATTATTTACAGTGCCTAATACAATGTTTTTCAGCTATCATATTTTTTTATAATCAATTAATCCCAATCAAGTTGCTAATGTCATTAGAACAAAACGGGATACTGGGAATGAAAGTCAATAAGAAATCTTTAGATTGAAACGGAAGCCCAAATATAAACAGAATCTTCGTTTTCTGTTCAAAAGCCCGGAGATGTTTGTGAAACGGAGGAAGCCGAATTTATCTACTCCAATTATCTGAAGATTTTCATTGAAAATCGCGGAATGCATTAGCCCTTAATAATCTAAATATGCTTTCCGTGTAGTAAAGATAATGATTTATTTTATATATACCAACAAATGACGCTTATTTGCTACAAAAGAAGTGCCTTTATAAATAAAGCGTATTATGAAAATTAGTTTTATTTCCGATACGATAAATTTTGCTAAAATATTTGCACAATTCCTTCACTGAAACTATATTTATTCGAAAACTCTTTGCCATTAATAAAGGTCGAAACAATGCCGGTGTTTTTACGGTGTCGTTCGTATTATTTTTCTTGTCTATCTGCTTGAAACACTTAGCGACGACCAAATAATTTCTACGTAATTATATTCTATTTTTTTCACATAGATTTCCATTCTGTATCATCAAATTGATACCCTGCTACTTTTTATATTTCTTTTAATGTCAGAACAAAAAAGTTACACATTTCATAAATAACAAAGCGGCCAGTGAATGTGAAAGTAAGAAAAAGTTATCGTTAAAACGACAAAAATGTATTTCGTTCTGGCTGTGTTAGGTAAAAAACAAAGAATACTTGCTTTAGTTATGATCGAGAGTTTCAAAAATGTTTATTATGACAGCTGTCGGGGCTAACGTACTTTTTGCTCTGTACACGCAAGTAAAGTCATTTAACTCCATTCGGAACAGGAGAAACATAATGGCTTCAATCTTCGCTAATCATTTTCTTTGTTGTTCTCTGAAAAGCGTTGTTGGATTTGCTTTTCTACTCAAAGTCATATGTCAATGTTTGACTACCAAATACAATTCCGTTTTGGTCATTTCATTTCAAACAAAACATGTTTATTTGCAAAACCTCCCAACACCTTAAACGTCATTATCTTTTGATTGTTAGTCTTGCAGATAAAGTGAGTTAGACAACGAACCATTGACAAGATTCGTATGAATCGAGATATGAATTGGCTTCTCTTATCGCATGCAAATACGTTCGTTTTATACGAATGAAAAAAGCGGGAGTAAAACATTTCTGGGAGAAATGGAGGGAATCGAAGTTTCTGAGAATATAACGGGTGGGTAGAATATTGATTATGTCTAAAGTCTTATGTTTAATAAGATTGTGTTTTAGGCGAGAGCAAAATAATATTTGATGATGTGGTTTCCAGTTTTGCACATAGTTCATAGTGTAATAATGTACTGGGATTTTTTCACTCAGATGTTAATCTTCTATATTAATAACTCCCGTTTGCATTTAAAATGCTCTGTAGGAATAGGAAGAAATAAATAAATAGGCATTACCATTTTTTTATTAAGCGTATTATACGGGTTTGTAAGAGGTACAGTATTTCAGACAATACCCAAATTGTACAAATAAGCAAAACATTTTATCCAAACCAATGATAATGTTGGTGTCAAAAAGACACTCCCAAAAGAGAACACTATCAAATGAGACTAAGTAAAATAAATCTTACTTTCCATTCATGGCTTGTCATATGAGCTCCGTTTCTGAAAGTTTATTTCTCAAGAATATGATATATATATATATATATATATATATATATATATATATATATATATATATATATATTGTTTGAATCCCCATCTAAATTTATTATAAAAAAAACATAACATTGCTTATATATTAGAAACATTCTAAAAAAAAAATGGCCAGTACTTGCAGAAACGTAAAGACGGTAAGCCCAAAGAGACAGGTAGAGTTAGTGACGACAAAGTTCAACTCTCTTTCCCATTGATCTGACACGGCCTATCGGAATGTATTAAGGAAATAACACGATAGACGACAAAAAACACTGGAGACAGGGAATATAAATTTATTAACAAACGTAAAAACATGGGGAAAGTAAAATAAAAAAAATAACAGCCAAATCAAAAATGACACTCTGTGAAGAATTAACATTTAAACATTGTGGATAAAATAGTGGGAGGAGAACCTGCTCTAACAAAGGTTAAACACAAAAAATGTATGGCCTTGTGCCATACTTCCACGAATTTACAGAACATCAAATTTTAAGACAAATAGAAAGAAACATGTAATAAAAAGATCTCATGACAGATTTGCCTGGAAATACAAACAAGAAAATAAGTACATTTAAACAAAAATGAAGCACAACAAAAACAACGATGTTATCTCGTAATAAAAGTTTTTTTCTACTAATGTCTCTTATATCTACTTTTTTTCGATATTTTTGCTTTTCCATTTCTTTTTATAAGCGTCTCCTTTTGAGGTCTTCCTTCCTTCCTCTCTTTCTCTTTTTCGTCCTGTCTAGGGGCTTGGCCGACTATCAAGTTGAAAATGACTTTCCTTTCTCTTTCGTCTTTGTGTAGCAGCATTCTCGTTTGAGGTGGTCTTCTGTCTTTCTTTCTTTTCCCTTTCGTCCTTTGTTTAAGGGCTTGGTGACAATCAAGGTGAAACTATTATCTTTCTCCTTCTCCTTCATCTCGGTGTGGTATCATTCCTCTTTGATCTATTTACTTCCTCTCTTTCCTTTTCCCACAAGTATCTCCTTTTGAGATCTCTTCTCACTTTCTTCATTTCTTTTCCTATAAGCTGTCTTCTGTCTCTATTTCTTCCCGATTCCACATAAGGTTCCATATATTTCACTCGAAGATGAATTCTCCTTCCCGTAATTTCGCGAACACGTCTTCTCAGCCGTTAGGCCTGGGTACAACTATTGTATTTTTCGCAAAAACGTATTTCCGGCCCTTAGACCTGGACAAATTTCGCAAACACGTCTTTTCGTTCCGTATGCCTAGACGAGACTCACTTTTTCGTCTCACTATTCGTTTCCTTTTTTTTTCTTGTCAGGTAGTCAATTTTCAAATACGAACTTTTTCCCATTGTGAGTGAAATGAGGTCATTGACAACCTCCCTCAACTGCGGTGTCAGAGAAAATGTAGATTAAAGTGTTTCAACTTTTCTTATCTGGAATCTATCCGTGTAAATCATGCTATCAACACGTTGACCAAAATTCTGGTTAATCTTTGTCACCACTAAGTCTACTTATCTCTCTGGGCTTGGCATCTTTACGTTTCTGCAAGTATTGATGCTTCTAAAATATAAGCAATGGTATAGTTTTTATAATAATTTTAGATGGGGGTTCATAACAATATTACTTTCAAGGCTTGTCATGTGAGTTCCCTTTCTGAAAGTTATTTTTTCTCAAAAAAGAAATATATATATATATATATATATATATATATATATATAACTGAAAATTTCAATAAATGTTGGGGTGATGTGAGATGTATTAACCATTATGCAAAGATAGGTATAAGTCAAAGGTTCCGAAATTCACAAACCCGAGAAAGTGCAGAAAAGTATAGTGATGACTCAATGATTGATTTCAATATAATTGATTTTATTTTCAATAATCACACCAAAATTTGATTAATTACTGAACAAATTTCATTGATGAATTATTCTACCTCCACATTATCCAGAAAATTGTGGTCTTTGTACACAGGTGCTAGATCTATGAATTTAAATTAATCCTAAATTAATATGGTCATGTTTGTTAACTCTTTTGAAATGGAACACAAGTTGTACGTTGTTGGTAGCATTTTGTGTATCAAGCCTACAACCGTTATTATTGACTTAGTTCCAGAACACTTCAATATGTAAGGCATACTTAATATTAGATATTGATATTCCGCGAGATGGAACGATGCTCTTTACTCTTGCTAACCAACATTAACTTTATCAGTTGTTTGGTTTGCTTTGGTTTACGGCATATCGACCTCAATGGGCCATTTAATGCTGACAATTTTTTTCTGGTAATATTTTTGTTTTGTCAACAATCTTTTTCCTTTTTTCCTCAAAGATGTATAGCTGGTAATATAATTTTTTAAAAAAAACGTGCGTATTTCTGGTAATATTGTTTTTTCAAAAACAAATTGCTGGCAAATGTTTTTTCTTCAAAAATTTATTTCTGGCAATATTTTTTTTACAAAGTATTTCTGGTATTAAAATCTATTTTTACACATTTATAATGGCTTTTCCCTCAGTTTCTGGGTTAACTATTTTCCCATAGCTGGGACCCTAACAGGTGCTACAGCCCCGGGTCAGGGCGAATCTGGGAACATCAGCAATTAAGAGGTGGTTCCACGCCCCTCAAATCCTCCTGATCAGAGACCTTGCTGTTGGACGTAGCTTATAGACTTACCCTGATGTAGTTTATCGCCATACCCTGGACGCTTTATCAATTGTCTGTCAGTCGGTGGAAATTACATTAGAACTAGTATTCTCCGTTTTATTATCCAGTACATTCAATACAGCTTCATGAAACTCTGTAAGTATAAATTTACAAAAAATGAATTATGCAAATACTGTATATCGATCTTGACTTTGATAACGATTTCGCATTTCCAGTTCAACTACACTGATGTCATTGAGTTTATGATTTTCACTGTGAATAGTCCAGGATTTAATCGTGATTTTAGGAAATAAATATAAAGTTTTATTTTTTATTCTTGGAGAGCATTTTTCAAATTTGAGTTTAATAATCTTTGTATTTCACTGCTTCATTTTCTATTTCGTGCAATTGAAAAAACTTAAATGTGTCCTTCTTCTTTTCTGAATTTCATAAAATGCTTCCTTTAATTCGCCATCACATTCGATAATCATCTTCTGGGCAATTATCTGTAAACAATAAAAAAAGACTGTTTGACGTGTATTTGAAACAAATTAATATTTGCAAATATTGATTTGATCATTTCTTTAACAGCGAAACGTATATCAAGAAAGTCTATTACTTTATTTATAAGAAGATATTTTAAAAATTCACTAATTTTATTCGAATGATGGAGAGGCTTGCAGGTGCTTGAAACAATTTACATTCAATGATAATAGCATGTTCTTTCTTGGTTTTATGAATTCCTGAAAGTGAGAGTTTATATTCTATGACTCTGCAGAAAAAAAGTGTTATTGATGAAATGTATTTGCCATTTTGATTCTTTAACAATCAGCACTCTTCAGCTGCCCAACCTGATGAAGAATTTTCTGACGTATCTCCTTGATCTTTTGTTGCAAAATCATGAGAGGGCGAAATTTGGAAATAATCATCGATGGCATTTTTTCAGCATCTAAATTCTTGAAATCTTTCTGAATATTTTCGACGTAATGTGTAGTACTGCCTGATACAAATGTTATTTCTATCATATTCACGTTATTGTACCTGTCAGAAAAAAAAATTGTAGAAATAACAAGACACATTAATAGGTGTGAAATTATGAAATAAGACAACAACTGCTTGAAATCTTAAAAGGAAATCACATTTATTTTACAAAACAAAATGGTACTAATACAATGTTGCAGTAAAATTTCCTTTCGTGACCTTACAAAAAGGATTACTATCAGCTTCAAGAAAAAAACTATAATTTTTAGAATAAGACACAGATCCAATGACAAAAAATTTACATCTTCAAAAAAGGACAAAAAACGGGAAAAAAATGAGGAAGCAAAAAGCTTAGGCAAGGCCGAAAATACAAAGCGTGCAAACCTTAGTTCGTAAGTGTATGCTTAATAGTGAAGTCTCAGAACGAAGGGGTTTCGGGTTTTCACAGGTTTTTTCCTCGAGGTTAGTGATGGTCAACCTTATCAAATAGCTCGGATTGATCTAAATTGATCAACGCAGCCTCATCGTCGTCTTTTACACCCTCTATAATCGTGCGGATCAGATGCAAGTTTTTCTGAATTGTTCTGCGCTTCATAGCAGAAGTTTGCTCAGATCCCAACAGAATCTCGGCAGCTGACTGCAAAAGGTTTGTTGGAAAGTTAACTTGAATGTTTGTTTCGTTGAAACTATTCTCAAGGAGGCACAGAAAAGAGTGTTCTTTTTCAGGGTAGAATCGACCTGGAATCTGTCGGTTTTTTCATTTCCCATTTTGAGTTATGACCCCCTCGGCTGAACTAGTTCGTCTTTCTAGCGTGGCTGCTAATGTTACTCTTCAATCCTTAAACGCTTTCTTCTTCAGAGGTTCATTCCTTTTATCCAAGAAATAGAACTCAATTTATTGAACAATGCGGCGTCATATCGGCTCCATTGAAAATTTCACAAGGGCTTGACGATCACGTCTTCTTATTGGCCAGTAAATAACATTTCTCCATGAATTCAAAAAATGAATCCGCCACTATTTATATAATAATTTTCGCAGTTTCAACAGCTAATCTGAAAGAGTCATAAATAATGCATAAATTTTTACACAATTTCTCTGGCATTCACTAATATACAGTTATCTCAAATGCGTGTATGAATAAAATCGAGAGGATTATTCATTTAGAGAATTATAAGAAACTTAAAATAACACAATTATAAGAAACTTAAAATAACACAAATAATTTTATATTCTGTAATTATTATTTTTTAAATCTTGCTGCTTGCGATTTGTAAGCGAATGGTAACTTACGATGTTTAAAATACATTTTTAAAAGTTCAGAAAACGTGTCCTTTGTTCATGTGAAAAACCAAAGGTTAGAAAATCCTAGAAATTCTATTAAATGTCAATGACTGAGTAACTTATGTAATATCTCTGCTTTAACTTATTCCAACACATTGAGTATACTGTACATTCTTTTCATTAAAACACTTCTGTTTATTATATAGAAGTTCTACGGAAAATATTTTTTCATTCGAACACTTAAGTTTCACCTATTCTTTTCATAGTTATGCGCATTATTAAGTTTGCTGTTGCATTTCATCTTTAAATTTTGAGATTAATATTTTCCAAATGGCCATACGAAAAGAGTAAAATATTACTAAGATTTCTTTATTTTTAACTTGAAGCCATTATATATTTATAGTAAATGACCAGTGACAACTTTAAAAAATTGCCGCAAGATTTTTTTGATCTTTCACTTCAGATAAGTTTTCGTATATGTTTTACAAATTTTTTATTATCTTATGTTTTAAACTTTCCATCTGTTTCTTAAATAACTGGTTTATTTAACATTTAAAAAAATGAGAATTTTACAACTCACAGGTAGTTTATCAGGTATCTTGTTGAATTACCTATCATCTTTTATAGGAAATGACTTCGTCCAATGTATAATATTGTAGCCATTTTATATCCGAAAATTATATGACAATTGAATGTCAACTACGATTCTAATTCTGTGGGATATGGCCCCTTACGTATGATTACATCTTAACTTAGTTTTTACCCTTATTTCGAAATTAGCTTAGATCATTTCGAATCGTTGATCTGAATAAAAACAAACAAACCAGGCCCTGAAATATAGCGTACCACAAAATTAGTATATATATTTATACATATATATATATATATATATATATATATATATATATATATATATATATGAGATATTACATATAATATATATATATATAATTTTATTATATACATTATATATAATATATACGATATATAGAGTATATATTAGGATATATATATATGTAATATATATTTCATATATAAAGTATATATATGATATATATAAAATATATTTGATATATAAATATATATATATACATATGAAACAAAATTAAGATGTGCCAAATTTATGGGACAAAGAGAGCGTCTGCAAATGTAAAATGCACATAGAAGTCAAAACTTGCAAGCGACAGTC